CGCTTGCTCCCTCGTGGAAGCCCAGCTGAGCGGCGCAGAAGTCAGCCAAGTGCCACAGTGGGAGGCAAAGTAGGGCAGGACGGTGACGTGCGGCGTGACAGCAGCTCCAGGCCCTGCCCCCTGGCCATGAACGTCACCGTCTCGCCCCCCTTCGCCTCCTGCCATGGTGCTCGGCTGACTTCTGCATCACTCGGACAGGCTGCCGTGTTGGAGCAAGTGGTGCAAGCAACTGTTTGGGCTCTGCGGTCCCCCGAGTGTGAGGAAAAGAGAAAGAGAGAGTGAGAGGCAGGAGTGGGAGGAGAAGAGAAAGAGAGAGACAGAGGGAGACAGGAGGGGGAGGAGAAGAGAAAGAGAGAGAGCGGAGGGAGGCAGTAGGAGGGAGCAGGGGGGAGAGATGGAGTGAGAGACCAGAGGCTCAGGAGAGAAGACGGATGTGGAGGAGAGGCCTGAAAATCCCATCTTATGATGGGCTAAATGGCTAGTAGATACATATTAGCCAATATGCGTATCTTGAAACAGCAGTGAATCTTGATAACTTATGTGCTTGTTTCATTACACAAACCTTTATATGTTAAATACAGGCAGTCCCCGGGTTACATGGATCCGACTTACATCGGATCCCTACTTACAAACGGGGTGAGGCAACCCCGCACTAGCTGCTTCCCCCCAGCAGACCAGGGAGACGTGAAGCTAGCGCCCCTTCCCCAGGAGACCAGGGAGATGCGGAGCGGCTTTTCTCAGCAGACATCTCAGCTTGAGAATAAAGGACTGAGGGAAGTGAGGTGTGGGAGAATAAAACTGAGCTCTGGAGAAATGTTTGGCTAGAGTTTCCCCTACAATATGTACCAGATCCGACTTACATACAAATTCAACTTAAGAACAAACCTACAGTCCCTATCTTGTACATAACCCGGGGACTGTCTATACACAAATTTACGTTGTACAAATCCTCTGTGGTTAAATATCCTGCAGGGCATGTGTTTGGTTTGAGTCTATCAGGTCAGGGATGAGGTTGCAAACAACAGGGTGTCTTTTGCCAAGTAGCCTCTGTGTCACAGTGGACTGCGATGGAACTTTATCATCATTACTAGGATTCCACATGAGCATATGCGTGTGATTGAAGAATTAGATTGTGTGCAATCTGTGGCAGAGCAGTCCTGTACTCTGTTCAGTACAATATGTAATAAAATAGCAAACTCTTATCATAACTATTGGATGGATAATATCTTTAGATGGCTTTTGGATACCTTTATCCACAGTTGGCCTAAAATGTGCATTCATCCCAGTTGACCAAGTTTAATAATTTCATTTCTTGATGACCTACTAGATGATAGAAAAAGCATGTTTTGTGAGAAATCTTCCATTCTCTTTGAAAGCTTTGTTTCTTTCTACATATATGTAGATGTGTTTATATCATGATACATTTTGATGTACAATAAATGAAAAATGAGTACATTTAACCCTGAAGTTAGAAACTAAATATGTAGAATATTAAGATCATTGAAGGGTTTACATTAGACGTACTAAACAAACTACAATATGCTGTTAATTCTTTAAAGCCTTCTAACATTCCTTCTATAGTTATGCATAGTGAAAGTCTTACCATATTCACAAAACATAAGAATGGCTGCTCTGGGTCAGACGAAAGGTCCATCTATCCGCGTATACTGTCTTCTGACAGTAGCCAATGCTAGGTGCCTCTGGATGGAATAAGCATAACAAGTAATCATCAAGTGGTCTATCTCCTGTCACTCGTTCCCATTTTCTGACAAACATAGGCTAGGGATGACATCCCTACCCATACTGGTTAAATAGCCATTGATGAACCTATCTTCCATGACTTGATCTAGTTCTTTTTTGAAACCTGTTATAGTCTTGGCCTTCATTACATTCTCCAGCAAGGAGTTTCATGGGTTGTACATTGTGTGCAAAAAAAAAAAAGAAGCTTTTTGTTTAAAATAAGCCACTGTATTAAGAATAGCTTAAAAGTGTTCGGGTGAAGTGTGTGTTTAGACAGGAATATATTTTGACTTATTTTCATTTATATTTTGGCTATACTCACCTCGTGGTAAGAGATTTTATAGGGCAATGATATGCAGCATGAGTCTTTCTGCAATTGCTACTTTAATGCCTTAGTTAAGTTTTGTAATGTTTTTCCACATGGATTTCAGTAATGATGCAACATTAGCATTTAATTACTGAACAGGTTGCATTGGACAGAATGATGCAATGACTGTTAATAGATCCTTGAGACTGCATTTGTTTTTTGGAACAGATATTTTATGGTGCTAAAGAAAGATGTAAAAATATTCCCTCGAGCAGTTTGTAGATTTACATCTTCATTTATGAAAAAGTATGTTTAGAATCTTTCACTATCGGATCATTTGTTCTGTACAAGATAGAATCTCATTTTCTGCCACCTTTCACACATGTTTTAAAAATTTTAAGAGGAAAATGAAATGTTTTTTGAATAGAATAAGAGTAGCTGGTGTTAAAAGAAAAAATGTTTCTCAATTCTTCAGTTTAACTGTTGCATGTCAGCTCTCTTGAAAGGAGGTAGTTTTTATCTGTTCTATTACTTATAGACAGATGGAAAAATAGTGGCAACTTAGTTCTGTGGCTTGTATAAATTGTATTGCACAGGGAATACTTAAAAAGTAAAATTATACAGCATTAACTAGGATTTTACAATTCACCCTTCCTTCCCCCCCAAAAAAGTGGAAGTGAGAGGGATTTTATATGCCATTTTATTGGGACAATAAGCAATCTAGGAAGGAAATTTTTGTGTTTTTGTTTTGTGTTTTGTTTCTAAAAATGGTCAACATCCCTAGAGGTGATTACAGTGTTGGCACACAAGCTCATAGTCTTCTTGAGCTTATTCAAATTTCATCTCTTTTCAGTTAGCAGAGGTTTATAGTTTAAAAATAGGGGCATAGACCTATCTGCTTTTCAGTACTTTTGAGTAGTCCAGGAATGCTAGAAATCTCTAAACTAGAAGCGCTTACAAAACCCATATTTCTGAATTGCTGCACCCACATTTCTCCCCTCTTTTAGAAATAATTACACCATAGGTTAGATGGCTTATATATAGTCAGGGTTCTTGTTAATTCTTCTTACTAAAAGCTGATGGTGTTGATATATTCCATTGCAGAATAGCACCGGCATTAAAATTAATATGATATTCTTAAATACAGAGTTCTAGCATTTTAGTAAGTTTAGACTTGACAACGAGCAGTCAGAATCGTATAATTTAGTTCAGTGGTGCCCAACCTTTTTTAATTCGCAACCCTCAGGGCCGGGAAAATTTTTGTTGAGCACTGCTGATTTAGTTGAGTTCATATATTTTCTTAAGTTTTTAATAAAACTGAATGTTTCTTCACATTTCCCTTTTTCCCCCAGGCCTCTTATCCGGCCATTACCTAGCCAACAAATGTTTGAACATGTGCAAAAGAGGCATCGTGTACTTTTTTTGTACGTTGGTGGGGAATCTCCTTTAAAGGTTTGAAACTTTTTTGTTTTGTTTTGTTTTTCGATCTTTGAGGTAGTTTAAAGTGACTTATACATACCTTTTCCAAAAACATGAGAGAATAATTTTTTGTCTTAGTTTTAAGAGGTTGTAGTTGTAAGCTGAATAGCCTAATTTTAAAACTACTTTGCTAATTGCATAATATACACACTTTAAAAAAATCTGAATGTAGGTTTTTATAGACATTTACCAAACATGCTGCTAATCTATGGGATCTGCTGTCTTTCATCTTGTAATCATTGTGTAGTGGTATTATGCAGGCCTAATAATGTAAAACAGTATTTTAAAATTATACTTCGCCTTTGAAAATGCCATTTTTGTTGTTTTGAGGCATAAGCCATGCATGCAAAATAGTTAAGCTTAAACGTTATCTAATGTGTGGCACAGAATACTGAAGGGAGAGTTTTTTGTTAATTTTATAGGTTTCATGGTCTTTTTAATACTAAAATTCTATGCTATAACTTAGTTATTTACACTTGAGGTGGAAAGAAACTTTGTCATTTGAACAAAGTCCTCAGAAAATTTCTAAAACTGTTGTTCATTGTATCACTTCTATTCTAACATAATGTGCATGTGTACCTTTATGTTGAGTATCATTTTTGCTCTAATACTTATAAATATTAGAAGACATTATTTGTGGTTTAAGATCCATTTGCTAAAAAATTGATTTTTATGTTAAATTAAAATGAACAAAATATAGAAAAATTGAAACTGTCTTTGTCTAGAAGACTTCAGTAATAAAAGTTCAAATAAGCCAGTGAATGGTTAAATGTGCGGACATCTGTCAAGTCTTAGTTTGAATGGAACAATGCTGGCATAGAATCATAAAACAGAACATTATTACCAGCCTAATTTTTGTTAAAACCCCCAATGGGGTTTTTAAAAGAATGCCCTGAGATAGCTACATAATTTTACATTAGCATGTGTGTAGACATGGAGTGCAGATGGGCCGCAGGTAAACTTTCTTTACAAAATGTGGTTTGATAGATTTCTTTCTGTTAAACGTGTGTAAAGATTTGAGTTTTTTTTTTTTTTTTTAGAAACATCTTTCTGTTCATATCTTTGCAGGAGAAATACATAGAAGTTGCTTCAGAGCTAATTGTCTATACGTACTTTTTTTCTGCCTCAGAAGAGGTACTTTCTGAGGTAAATTCACTTTATCAGATACTTAAACTCTATCTCCTCTTATTTAAATTGTGTTTAGCATAACCATAGCCTTTTAATTCTTACTGTTTCTGACATGAAACACACAAGAAGCTGGTCAGTAAGAGTAATCGCTCTTTAGTAATTGTAATCACTGTAATGAATAAATAATTTTACAGAAGAATCTAATTGAGAAACATGAATTTCAAACTTAGTTACAGTTAAGGAATACTCTGTTGCCATTTGTTTGTGTTAGCATAAATTATCAAAAGCAATATTAAAACGTCTATCTTTAAAAGAGGGAAAACCCTTGTCAAATTATTCATTACAATAGCTAAAAATTAAGGTGAAAAGTTTCAGTGACTTTTTTTGTTGGAATATTTGTTAGGTTTATCAGGCAGTCCTGTTTTGCACAAACCACATGAATTTTTCATATGCATTGAGGTACAGTAAGAACTTAAATAAGATTGCTGAACACAGTTTGTTAAAAGCCTAGTTTCAAGATAATTTAAATTATCAAAACTGACTTTAGACCCACAACTGAATTGTAGACCATTTCTGAGAGGTTTTTAAAAACAAAAGTATTTTATTTACCTTTTATGAGAGGTTTTTAAAAACAAAAGTATTTTATGCTAGTAAATCAAATGATGTTTTTTTAAAAAGGATTGCCATCCACTGAATCCTTAATGAAGACTACCTTTTGTCAAAATTGAAGGAATAAATTCAAAACCTTAAAATATAGTATGCTGAACATTATTTATGCATGCTTTTTCTTATAGTGGGAATATGTAAATTATGCATACATCAGAATTTTACCGAGGTATATTAGTCCTTTTTTGGGAGGGGGAAAAAGGACCCTGGACTGGAAAGGACAGAAAGAATTCTGACCCCAAACTCCATCCCAATAACGAGGTTCCAAGATGCTTCAAAATAACACTCAAGGTCAGGTGCATAAAGCCCATACTCATACTTGTCCATCAATATCTGAGCTATCTCAGTCCCAGTGACAAACCAAAGTGTGCTAATCAGATATCCATCAGTAGAATTTACTTGTGGATGGCACTTGTGAAAATTAGTTTACTTAAGAGCCTAACCTTTTGCCAAGATTTTGAATATTTTACAGTATACTCATAAGTGCTTTAAGGTTTCACGTTTGTCATACTAAGCTCTTTGAGATATTTTGATTATAATTATACCGAGGAAGAACTAAGTAGCTAAAGGTTTTTATTTTTTTTAAAAAAAATCCTATAGGAAAATAGGCACATTGTAAAATTAGTGAGTGTAAATTTTATGTAATTCTCACTTCAAATGTTCACAAAATCTTTAACACAGCTCACTTGCATTAATTCATTCAAGTTAGTCACCTTGTGCAGAAACTGAGGTTCTTTGTGATGTGTGACTGTGAGTGGACCATTACTTTCATTCATGCCTTCTACTCCAGGAAACTTCACAGTAGAGAAGGAACGGGGGGATGGCTAGGATGCTTGAGTGCTAACAGCACTACAAGGTGCCTAGTGCTCATGTGTGTAACAATCAGGCATTGCTACCAATCAGCATTACCATGATATGCCGAAACCTATAGTATTGCACCCACCGGGTGATGCATCTTAAAGTAGCTCACTTACTGTGCAAGGTGAGTAACCTTCTCTTTTCACTGAATACATTTTCTTTTGAGTAAGAGATACAGTTCCTAGAGCAGGAGAAAATACTGATTGTAAGTTTGGAAATTGGAAATCTAAACAAAAATGTAATCTCTGCATAAAATCAGAGTTTTAGAAAAGTTTAAATGGTGTGGTGGATGGGGTGGGAGATAAAATTGATAAAAGGAAAAGCAGATGTGTGTTTCCAAGCTTCTATGTTTTAAACAGTGTTGAAAGAATATTTAGGTATTGTGTTCAATTACTTGAGGGTTTTTTTTTCTTCTGACTTGTTAGTTTAAAGTTTCTGCAGTTGAAATGCCTTGCTTTCTAATCAATGGTATGATTAGACATAATCTCTCACTCTTGTAGTATGTGACTCTGCCTGAATTGCCTGCTGTTGTGGTCTTCAAAGATGGAACTTACTTTGTGTATGATGGTAAGTATAAGTGTGCGCTGTTCTACTACAGACAAAATACTCAAATGTATATATTACATGAATCAAAACAAGCATTCTTTTTAAAGCAAATTTTTTGAAAAATTTATAAAAGTTTGTTGAATAATCTTTTTTTTTTTTGTAAAGGAGTGAAAGGTGGAATTGCTGTTTTTGGATGTCTGTTGCGCCTTTCTGGATTTTTTTTTTAAATAGAACAAAATGTAGTGTAATGAAAATGGTATTGAGCAGCGATAAATTAAGTAAAGGTGGAAGATCCTGAAATTTGGCTTTGCACTTTTTTCTTGTATGTTCTCTTGCATGTTACAACTAGATTACTGGCATGCCAGATTAATCTAATAGTTCAGGTTCCTCACAACCCAAGATTGATAGTAGAGCTGAAGGGTTGAATGAAGGAAAACAGCTAAAATTGAAAAGTGGTTTGCCCTATTATGAAGATTGAACACCACATTGATTATTCATATTCATAGTATTCTTCATTCTTTCATACCCAAATTCATTTTTTCATTGTCATGTTATTGAGACATCTTTAATTAGTTACTGTATCTCTTTGACAGAATTTGGAAGGATGTCTTAAGGACAACTTCCCCGGGAGTTATCTAATAACTCGGCTCATCCGCAAGGGATGGTATATAAGGTAGTGACTCTCAAACCTGTATCTGATCACCGGGAGTGTCAATTTTAGATTTATATGGTGCGCAAATAAAAACTGGAGACTTGGATTTAACTGGAAACCACAAGACTATATTGTTAAAAACAAACAAATTTAACAAGCAGTACCTCAAATGAACAGATGAGGGGGCAGTCCTCTTTTTACACTAATGGACCAGGAAGGGAAGTCCCTCCAGGTCCCTATACCTACAGAGTCTACGACGATAGACGGTTGATGCGGTGCTAGCGACCTGCGATCTTCGGGCTAATTGAAAGCCTTCAGGGAGGACAGCTAGGCGTCCCTCGTCGGCTGATCTCGACGCTAGGCGACCTACAATCCGTTGGCTAATTAAAAGCTGCGGGAGAGGAACAGCCCAGGAGATCCCTCGAAGCACGGATGGAGGACGAAGACAGTCGGTTCACCTTCCGCAAAGTCCTCTGGTCCTCGCTGCCTCTTCTCTGCGCTTCGGTGCAGCCGGATCAGACGATGGAAGCTAGACTCTTTCCTATCTATCCTAACTAAACCTAAAGATAAAACCCTATCTAAACCCGACGAGCCCAACCAACAGAGGCGATGACGGCCGACAGGCAGTGACCGACGCAACCTGACGTACAAACTCAATGACGGGAGCTATCCTAACTAGATACTATACTACCTAAACTACCTAATATAGAGAAGGTCTGACCTTCCGTCAGACTATCTCTGTAAAAGACTAAAATAGAATAAATTGAGAATGCATGACCTTCCATCAGCTTATCTAAAGGAAAAAGATCCTTTACAAGACCTCACTCATTCTAAAACCTAGGACAAGGGCATCTAGAACCTTGCACTCTCTCTCTCTCTCCTAACCTACACCTAAACCCGACGCAGGCAGGTGACCCGACGCAACCGGTAACTGCTGCGTAGCAAAGCCCTTTTATACTCAACACTCATGAATATGCATGAGGGTCTGAGGTTCAAAATGATTGGTTGGTAAAAATGCTCTCATAGCATGGTTCGAATTGATTGGTTGATGGAGGATGCTAATGAATATTCATAAGTTATTCTAATTCTGACAGGCAGGTGAGTTGCTGTTTTTAAACTTTAACAGTTACACATTCTGTCACGTCCACAGGTATTTCAAATGGATGTCTAAGGAAAGTTCAAAGGTTTCAAAATGGTGTTTCAGACTCCATTTTGAGATATTGCAGAACTCCCTCATATTTTAAACTTTTATACATATTAAGGAGTGTATTGATTCACATAACACCAGTCCTATACACTGTACAAATCTTCACAAGGTGAATTTACATTAAATAGCTTACATTTGCATTTAACCACTTGATTTTGCTTAAACATAGCCACTCCTGCCTTACAAATTCTATAGGTTAATTTATTAATACATATTAGCATCATTTTAACTTATTATCAGGCTCATCACTTCTTGCGTATGGCAGTTTACAGCTATTGTTCCCATGTTTCTGCAGTGATTTACTGTTAACTCCAAGTTTTACCATTGAGCGACCTAGGCTGTGTCTAGACTGCAGGGTTTTTTCGGAAAAAAAAATAGCCTTTTTTCGAAAAACTTCACCTGCGTCTAGATTACAGCCGCGTTTTCGAAATTAAATCGAAAGAACATGGCTTTTCTTTTGATGGCGGTACTCCTCATTTCACGAGGAATAACGCCTTTTTTCGAAAGTGCTCTTTCGAAAAAAGGCGCTATGTAATGCAAACTGCTTTTTTGAAAGAGAGCATCCAGACTGCCTGGTGCTCTCTTTTGAAAAAGCAGCTTGCTTTTTCGAAAATACTGATTGTAGTCTAGAAGCACTTTCTTGAAAGCTTTTTTGAAAGTCTCTTTCGAAAAAGCCTCTTTTGAAAGAGGCTTGCAATCTAGACGTAGCCCTGGTGTGAGTTGCCCAAACTGTGAAGGTAACTGTTAGAACAGTTATGTATGCCAAGGGTTACAGGCCTACTGAGCCACACTTATGCTAACTTGCTGTCACCAATACCTAAGAAGAAGCAACATAAGGCTCCTGAAGAATTGATACCTGAGCCTTGAGAGTCATAGAATCATAGAATACTAGAACTGGAAGGGACCTCAAGAGGCTGAGTCAAGTCCCTGCATTCACGGCAGGACCAAGCACTGTCTAGATCACACCTGATACATGTCTATCCAACCTGCTCTCAAATATCTCCAGTGATGGAGATTCTACAACCTCCCTAGGTAGTTTATTCCAGTGTTTAACCACCCTGGTAGTTAAGAAGTTTTTCCTAATGTCCAACCTAAACCTCACTTGCTGCAATTTAAGCCTATTGCGTCTTGTCCTATCATCGGAGGCCAAGGAGAACCATTTATCCCTCTTCTTTGTAACTGCCTTTTAGATAGTTGAAAACTGCTATCATGTGCCCCCTCCCCCCCCCCACCCCCCGTCTTCTCTTTTCTAAACTAAACAAGTCCAGTTGTTTTAGTCTTCCCTCATAGGTCATATTTTCTAGACCTTGATTCATTTTTGTTGCTCTACTCTGGACTTTCTCCAATTTGTTTACCTCTTGAAACATGGTGTCCAGAACCGGACATAATACTTCAGCTGAGGCCTTAACAGCACAGGGTAGAGTGGAAGAATTACTTCTTATGTCTTGTTACAACAGTCCTACTAACACATCTTTCCTAGCATGACATAACCCTTGTTTTTAACCCATTTTAGCCTAACCCAGAGATACTCAACACTTTCCTCTATGTCCATCTCCACCTCATTCCAAGTGTGTTCATTTTTAATATACAAGGCAACGCCTCCTCCCTTTTTTCCCCTGTCTAGCCTTCCTGACCAAGCTGTACCCTTCCATACAAACATTCCAATCGTGTGTATTATCCCACTAAGTTTCTGTGATGCCAACAATGTCATAATTGTACTTATTAGTTTTTCCTGCTTATTACCCATACTTCTCGCATTTGTATATAGGCATCTAAGATACTGATTTGACCTTGCCTCCCAGTTTTGCCCTGACCCTCCTTTCTCTCTGCCATTATAGCACACGCTCCGTCCCATTTCTGACCCATTATGTTCTTCTCTCAGGTCTCCATGTTCCACCCTTCACACCACCCGCTTCATCTCAGCGGCTCTAGCAGCCATTGTTTTTCCTCAAACAGCCACACACCAGTGAGTTCTCCGTGAAACAGTGGTTTTCCGCGGAACACAGTTTAAGAAACAAGGGTCTAAATAATCTGGTTTTTAGTAGGTGAAACTGGCAGTACCTTACAGTACAGTGGAAGGGGGGCTTTTTTTTGGGTCTGAGGGCCACTGAACCACAGAAAAATCAGTTGGGGACCACACAAGTGAGAAGCCAAAAAAAAAAAAAAAGAACAAAAACCCCTCACCGTGGCTCCCTAGTGAGAAGGAGAAAGATACTTCCCCACATTCCTCTTACACACCAGAGCCTGGCAGGGCTCAGGCTAGTAGAGTTTGTGTGCTCCAGCCCATAGGGGATATGGGAGGCTAGAGCATCAGTGTGGGCTCCCCAGTGCTGGGGTGAGAGCTCCAAGCCTTGGAGGCTGGATCCAGGCAAGCCAGGGGCCAGCCTTAGGTTCCCCACTCCTGCATTACAGTAACACTTAAGCATTCTGTTAACATTTATAATAAAATATTAAATCTGATCTCTATGAAGTACTTTTGCAAATGCTTTCTCACAAGTGATGCTAAAGTTTTAGTAGTGGAATGATGGTAAAGAAGTGTTGGGTTTGGAAGATAGTATTAATGCAACATGGTGGCTTCTTTCTTTGTCTTGTTGCTGCTGTTTGTGTAGTCTTGAAGATGTGGTGAGACAAATAGTGTGTCCAAAATAAGTGATGAAAGTTTGAGTGTGTAAGAGTAAGTGTGTGAAATTATAATGGTACAAGAACAGTATAAATATAAACATAATAAGATTAGGGGTTAGAAAATAAAAACATAAGCTTAAGAATGCATTTTTCAGTTGAAAGGAATTTAGACTTTTTGCATTGTTTCACTAAAGGAAAGAGGCACACATTTCTGGCAATCCACTAAATAAACCAGTTTCTGTCACTTTTCATTCATTTGACAGGTTAGGGGATGGTCTTGGTGGCATCTTCAGTTCATGATTAAGCATTTTCGTAGTGTATATGTTTCAGGGTTGTAGTTCTTCAGTTTTAGGATGATAGAAATGTTGTCATTCTGTGGTGAGAATTTCTCAGAAAATCTTAGAAGATGGAGTTTTTCCTCACCATTTTTTTTTCTGGGAAATCCCTTTATTTCTTTTAGGGTAATATGGGTACAAATTCTGTTTCAAATGAGCCCAAACATTTCTGCGTCCCATTAAAAAAAAAAGTTGTCATTTCTAAAATGTAAAGAATTATTAAGTTTAAATACTTTCTTTAACTGGTCATCAGATAATGTGTTGACCCTTCTTTATACTGCTCTAATTTTAGGAAAGGGTTTTCTATTGTTTCCTTAGTTTCTTCCTAAATAAGTTGCTTAATGGTTACTTCTCCAGTTTTGTGTAAGTATTTCATATTCAGGTGGCTTATTACATATTTAGTTATAACATGAAAAAGCTTACTATGTTAATAAAACACCTTAGATTTCAGATTATGATATCAGGATGTTATATGAAGACTTGCATGTGCAGTAGAGCCTCCGTTACAAACACTTAAGAATGGAAGTCTCTTAACTCTGAAATGTTTGTAACTGAACTAAATCTTCAGGGGGTAGCCGAGTTAGTTTGTACAGGATAAACTTAAATAACTACAAATAGTCTGGTATTACTTTAAAGACTAATGAAATATGTAAATGGTATCATGAGTTTTCGTGAGCACAACCCACTTCTTCAGATGACCAGAGTGTTGGATATCCAGAACTAAAATAAATAGGGGGGAATAGGGGAGGTAGTGAGTATAAAAATATCAAGGGGAAAGCCGAGCTGGAATGTAACAGGAAAAACAAATAGTCATAAGCACCTAAACACTGGATAGTCCCAGCTTATGACTATTTGTTTTTCCTGTTACATTCCAGCTCGGCTTTCCCCTTGATATTTTTATACTCACTACCTCCCCTATTTATCTTCCCCCCCCTCCCCCCATTTATTTTAGTTCTGGTCATCCATCACTCTGGTCATCTGAAGAAGTGGGCTATGCCCACGAAAGCTCATGAAACCATCTACATGTTTTGTTAGTCTTGGAAGTGCTACCAAACTATTTGTTATTTTTTAAGTTTATTCTGAAGTAAATGCTATGATGGTTCATTTGAAAGTTTACCTCTGAACACGGACTTGATGTGGTAAAGAAGTCCACTTTAATGATAATTTTCTAGCTCTGAAAACACATACTAAGGATCTCACTTTTGAATATCTTAAATAATGAACATCCCCCATATTCTCTTACACATCCAGGTCTCTCTCTAAAACAAACATCTTACAGAGTTTTCTTTCTTGACATAATAATCATGTCTGTACTACACTGATGTCTTGCACAATGAACTGTTCTGTTCTTTAAGATGATATTACCACTTTCTATTTGTAATAAGTTTATAATTAAAGATTCCTATAAAATATTCTATACAAAAAATAAGTTTAAATAACTGACACTTACATACACATTTAAAAACATAGTTAAGAAAATACTTTAGACAGTTAAAACACAGTGGAAGTTTTCAAGCTGCATCTCTTAATCTGTGTACACATGCTTGGAGGTAATACATTTGGTGTTATGGCTAAGGAAGTGTCGATGCCTGTCACTGGTGCTATGCAGGTTTCGTAGGAATTGAATTTTTCATTTAATTAAATAAATACAGTAATCAAAAGAGAGCATATGATCTATCATATTTCTACAATATCATATATAGGAAAATATAGCTTTGCAAATTTACTAAAAGAACAAGAACAATGAATTATAATACTTCTATATCAATATCGAAGTCTTTTTGAACATGTAAAATGTAGTTAAGCAGTAGTGTTATTTATTTTTGCAGAAACCGCTAGACTTAGTAACATTCTGCAGTTTGTGGGCAGAGGGAGTTGTGAAAAGTGAATAGCCTTCAGCTGCAAGACCAACCTGTGTTACAAACAACTGGTATTACGTACTTTCTTTAATAAAAACAGATACAGAAAAAAAGAACAGATTTAACCTTTTTAGCTATAATTTTAAAAACTTCTATTTCACATTTCAAAATAATATCAGTTCTTCACATAAAAACAATAGCAAGGAACAGAATTACTATAAAATGTTTTTATAATATACGATACATTGAAATAACTTGGAGTCTGCACACAGAGTTTATTCAGAATTCTTTAGGCTTTTATGCAAGAGAGATTGCCAATGCTCGTTTCCGTGAAGTCTTCCTCCAAGTTGTTCCATCCCCCAGATCATGGGTGGGCAAGATATAGCTCACAGTCTAGATCCACTAGAACTCTCAGGCACAGAGCAACCTCACACCACTTTAAGCAGTTGGCTGCTCCCCATGGCTTTCTATTTTGATTGTTTTGGGCAGGTGATGCTTAGCACGCTCCTTCTGCACCCCAGGTTTTCTGGCCTAGAAGCTGAGAGAATTTGCTGGGGGCC